TAGTAACCTCTTATTGATTATTTTTTTTCAACGAAGGAACGAAGAAGAAATTAATTCTCTCAAAGTCGTTCCTTCTTGAGAAAAAAAACACACACTCTCTCTCTCCTCCGTCCATCACCATTCACCACCACCATGGTCATATCCAAGGCCGCCTCGGAGTCGGATCTCTCCGTCCATTCCACCTTTGCTTCACGCTATGTCCGCGTTTCTCTTCCCCGGTAAATTAAAATTATTACACACTATTTTTATTGAGTTGAGAAAGTTGCTCGGATGGTAATAAGCATCTCTCACTTTTAATCCGAAGATTGTCACTAAGGGAGCAAAAGGGTGGAAGCTCCTATAGGAGGATTAAGAAAATGTAAAAAAAAAGAAGAAAAAAACAGCACCCGAACCTCGGGCCTCGAAACACAACTTATGCTAACTTTTACAACATACTTAATATTATGCTTTCCAAAGAGCAATTCTTTTCAAAATCTTATGCGGATCTAATATTGCTCATGCAATTTGAATTTTAAATCCTTTTGCTTAACTAGTTGTGGAAGATCATGAACGTTTATAGGAGAATTTCTAGTTTCGTCTCTAATTTAGCAATTTGTTTTTTTTTCTCTTGGTGTTTAAAATTCTTGAAAAATATTATTAATTTATTTATTTTGCAATACTTTTATTTTAGGTTTAAGATGCCGGAGAATTCGATACCAAAGGATGCAGCATATCAAATAATTAATGATGAATTAATGTTGGATGGAAATCCAAGGCTAAATTTAGCTTCATTTGTGACAACATGGATGGAACCAGAATGTGATAAGCTAATCATGGATTCAATTAACAAGAATTATGTTGACATGGATGAATACCCTGTCACCACTGAGCTTCAGGCAAGTTATCCATATTTTTTTTTCTCTAACAATATATTTGATCGTGCACACATCAATTATTTCATCGAGTATATATGGTCTCCACATTGTCTTTTCTAAATATTGTGTTTGACTGAGTTGTTGTGCTTACATTGATTATTTCACCTAATATTCATTTTACGCACCTTCATCGAATATATTTCCACCTCACATAGTCAACTTGTGCGTAAGTCAATTATTTTACTAAGTATATATGATCTCTCACATTGTCCTTGAGTTAGTGAAGCAAACCCGATTTTTAATGCAGACACTGATTTATATATATATATATATATATTGTTATCGCTAAATGCAAATCAAAAGTATAATACACACGACAAAGTAATAACATACTAATTATGGATAGATTTAACATAGAAGAAGGTAATTAGAATGTGATGAGATACTAGAACATAGAAAGGAGATGAGAGATAAGTGAAAGCCAAAACTTCAACATAATTTTCACAACGGTTCTTTCTGATCCCTAGACCTCCTTAACATTAGCTAATTGGGCTTGGATCCCATTTAAAACTCTCTAACATTTTACTCGGCCCAATAATAGCAAGTGAAACAGTCTCATATTTGTCACGTCTAGGCCATAGGCCCCTATAAAGTCATCGTGGATCACAACAGTTAAAGTCTACGCATACCTCAATTATTTCATCGAATATCTACTACTTCGACTCCCACGTTATCTTTTTTTTTTATAAAAAAAAGTAATTTAATTTTTTTATATATTTATTTATTATTAAAATACAGAATCGATGTGTAAACATGATAGCTCATTTATTTAATGCACCATTGGGAGAGGGAGAGGCTGCTGTTGGAGTTGGAACAGTTGGATCCTCAGAAGCCATTATGCTTGCTGGATTAGCCTTTAAGAGAAAATGGCAAAACAAAATGAAGGCCCAAGGAAAGCCTCATGACAAGCCCAATATTGTTACTGGGGCCAATGTCCAGGTATGTTTTCCACTAAAAGCCCATCTTTTTCTTTTCGAAAAGTTACACATTTGATTCAGAAATATAAAAAAAAGATAGGATTATACCCTATTATATAGTTGATTAAATTGCATTGATAATATTTAAATTTTTATTAATTATAAAGGTATGCTGGGAGAAATTTGCGAGGTACTTCGAAGTAGAATTAAAAGAAGTGAAATTGGAGGATGGATACTATGTAATGGACCCTGAGAAAGCTGTGGAAATGGTTGATGAAAATACTATTTGTGTTGCTGCTATTTTGGGTTCCACACTTAATGGAGAATTTGAAGATGTCAAGCGTTTGAATGATCTCTTGGTTGAGAAAAACAAAGAAACTGGGTAACTTATCTCACCTTCTACGTTCTAACCTCGTATACATTATAATTTTTCGACGAAAGAAGTTCAAATAGACTTTTTGTCTTTGACTATACACACACTCTTTACTTCACAAAGATAGGAGTATGTGTCAATATACATCCATCCTACTCTTTCCAGATTCAGCACGTGAGATTACACTGTATATGTTACTGTCGTTTCATAAGTAATTAATAGTTGATTATAATTGTTATTTATTTAACAGGTGGGATACTCCAATTCATGTGGATGCAGCAAGTGGTGGATTCATTGCCCCATTTATATATCCAGAAATTGAATGGGATTTTAGATTACCATTAGTTAAAAGTATTAATGTGAGTGGTCACAAATATGGTCTTGTTTATGCTGGTATTGGTTGGGTTATTTGGAGGAACAAAGAAGATTTGCCTGAAGAACTTATTTTCCACATCAATTATCTTGGTGCTGATCAACCTACTTTCACCCTTAACTTCTCTAAAGGTAATTATTGCTCCCTCCGTCTCATTTTACCTGACATTTTTCGCATTTCGAGATTTAAACAACTCTATCTTTCATCGTAAGTTTTCATAGATCCTTTTAACATTTTGAATTATCAATTATTGTGACTTATAGTACTCTTTACGTAGTAATTTACAAATATATAAATTTCATTTCAAAAAATTTAAAGATTTCATATGCAAATGCCCGATCAAAATTAACCTGGTTGACTCTCGAAAAATAAAAAAAGTATCACATAAAACGGGACAGAGGGAGTACTAGTTTAATTATTTTTTTTGATCTTCACAAAAAATGTTCTCAAATGTATACATATCATACAAAAGCTTAGAAGATCACATGAACATATTATCGTCAAACTACTATTGTTACAGAGAACATATAATGTAACATAATATGAAAATATATTATCATCAAATTTGTCAGTACATAAAAGATAAATTTATGATATTCTCTTGACTCGCAGGTTCTAGCCAAGTAATTGCACAATATTATCAACTTATTCGTTTAGGTTACGAGGTAAGCTCAAATTTATGAATAATAATATTTTTTTTGTTAATTTTAAGGTTATTATTGTAATAATTAATTATCATTATGAATTATGTTATTAACTAGGGATACAAGAATATTATGGAGAATTGTCAAGAAAATACAAGGGTACTAAGAGAAGGACTTGAAAAGATCGAAAGATTCAACATAGTATCTAAAGAAATTGGAGTCCCATTAGTAGCATTTTCTCTCAAAGACAATAGTAAACACAACGAATTCGAGATTTCTGAACACCTTAGGAGGTTTGGGTGGATCGTGCCAGCTTACACGATGCCAGCTAATGCTGAGCACGTGACCGTGCTCAGGGTAGTGATTAGGGAAGATTTTTCCCGAACACTAGCTGAGAGGCTCGTGGGGGATATTGTAAAAGTCCTCCACGAGCTCGATAACCTCCCAGCAAGAGTCACGGCTAAATTAGCCGCGATCGCGGAGGGTGAAGGCTCATCAGGGCATAAGAAATCCCCAATGGAAGTGCAATTGGAAATCACCAATGTATGGAAGAAGTTTGTTGCTGAAAAAAAGAAGACCAAAAATGTAATATGTTAAAAAAGAGAGTTAACTTTGTTCTTGTTTTTATTTGTGTGTGTGTGTTGTTTTTTTTTTTGAGTGTTTTAGTGCTAATGTATTTTGAAAGGTTCAATTAAGTTTGGACCTTTTTTTTTTGGTGTAATTTGTTTTCTTTTTGAGGTGTTTTGACACCTTTTGGAAAAAAAATAATTATTTTTTCGATTTATTATGTTTTTATTTTATTTTTAAGCGTTTAAATTTTAAATATAAATAATTTCGGTGTATGAGAATTCAAAATATTTGGCTTTAACATGATACTCATACATTATTTAAACTCTTAGAAATAAAATTTATATATTTAAAAATTATATATATAAAAATAATTGATAATTTAAAATATTAATAAACTATTTAAGAAAAATATATTCAACGAAGACTCTATTCTTTAAATGGTGTTGAAAAGAAAAAAAAATACAAATATTAATCATAGGAAGAGGAAAACTAAATATATTACTAATATTTTGAAGAAATTTTAACTGTAACTAATGTACAATGTGTTACACAAAATTTGACCTTTTTCAATTGGTGTATAGGGGCACTTTGATTAAGTGAATAAATATAGAGTATAAATTATGTTGCTCGATAGTATGGAGTATTAAGGTAAGCAAGATCGAAAAAGTAACTGATTCTTATATATAAAATTTTATTACGAAATAATTTTTTTGTAATAAGGATTTTTTGAGCTCTTTTATTGGTGCAAATCTTATATCGTAATCTCATGACTAACAAATACATTTAATGAATCTATTCGGAACACAACTCTCCCTCGTAAGTTATCTTAATCTATGTAAACTAAAAAGATAGCATAAAATAGATATTAATTAAAGTAGAAAGCTGCTCGTCTTTGTAAGCTTCACCTGTAATGATCTTCGATAAAAATAATGATTTTTTATTCAAACATATATTAAAACTCATTATAATTTTTTAGTTTTTATCAATTGAGAACTCAAAAGATCACATATTGTGACATTAATTACTTAACTAAATTAATTTTACCTAAGTCAATTTATTGAAAAATAAATTGTATTTTATAATTAGATTTAACCTCCCATATTTCATTTCACAGTTACGAAATTACCCTTTTCTACTGAACAGAAAATCGAGATCTGAGCTCCCCACCCCCACTCCCTTCACCCCACCCACCCCCAAAATTCTCTATATCTAACAATATATACATACACAAAGAGTGATACATATATATATATATATTCATGTATACAACGGAGATGGAGAAGAAGATGATGAGTTACGTCGTCGTTTTGATCGTTTTGTGTTGTGGGGTTACTCCGGCGAGATCGGACGGTTCCGATCATAAGTACAAGGCCGGAGATCAGGTTACTATGTATGCTAACAAGGTTGGTCCTTTCCATAATCCAAGGTAATGTTTGTACATTTGTGTTTAACATTTTTGGTAAAATGGAGAATGTGAAGCTGAATTTAACATTTCGTGTAAATTTGATTTTTTTTCATGATCGAGTTATGTAATTTGTGCTTTTCTAGGTTTAAAAATGTAGTATGTTTTTGTACATATTGAGCTTCGGTAGAGTAACCTGGAATGTATTTTGTGAAATTAGTTGAGGTGCGTGCAAACTGCTCCTGATATCAAAAGAAAAATTAAAGTAGTTTGTGGTGTGTATATATGTGCATTGTCCCGACTCCCGAGCCCGGAGTTATAATGTCCTTGGTTAATGAGTAGAAGTAAATTCACGATTTGAAGTTTATAGGTTTTTATCGTGGGCTCAAGTTAATATACAATAATAATTGGGTACGTTGTTTGAGCCAAAGTTATAATGGCCTTGGTTAATGAGAAGTGGATTTAGGATATGAATTTTATAGGTTTGTGCAACGGTTTCAAGTTAATGTCCAATAGTGATTGGGTTGGGTTCAGAATTTGACATTTATAAATATTGAGTTAATTCTTAATGTATATACAGGGTCGAGGCAAAATGTACTGAGTTTACGTGAACTTTGGTGACAATCTAGATACCTCAAATTGTTAATGAATTAATGGTGCTGGCTGGATTTGATGAAATTTTTCTTGATATACTGCTAGTTATTAGAGATTAAGTTGGAGTCCCTGACAGATTTGATGAGCTAACCTTGCTGCTTGCTTCTGTGTCCTAGAAAGAGATAAAGATAAGAAATTGGGATATGTAGATTTTAAGACTAAATATTTACTTATGTAGTAGCTTCTTAAAGGACACAGCATATTGCAACGATACGGAGTACAGTATCTTATGTGGCTGACTTCATTGAATGAAAGATGTCTATGTTCGATTACTTAAGTATATCAAGATAAAGGGAGTGATGATGCAACTTAGGTGGACGACAAGTCTACTAGCTTAAGTTATGTGGAAAGTTATATAATTCCTTATGTATGACTGATGATGTATGAATGCTTTTCGACTTTCATGAAGATTGATGAAAGTTAACTAAAGAGCAGTCGCCTCCTACTTTTGCCTTAGATTGTTCCACAACAAGTGTGAATTTTGGTTTGCTCTATTTGTCCTTCTAATGGAATCTTAATAACTAATAATTGTTATATAAGTTGTAGGAGGACTTCAAAAAATTTCTTTCTTCATGTTGGTATTATAGTATACGAGAAAATGAAAGAACAAAAGAGTGTGTCAATGCATATGGATGTTTGAACAAACTTAAGTACTATCACCTCATAATAGTACAAACTGCAAACTTCACATTCAAAATGTTTCAAACAACTTTAAGCGTCTTGATCAAAAAGAAAGATTCGTAGGACTCTTAAAAAATTAATCCAGACATGCATGTTTGGCTCATGGAGTTGGTTTTGCATTTGCCTTGTTCTTGTATTTCCAACATGCAACTTTCTGTTCTTTCTTTGAGTCATTGTTGACAAATGAGTCTCTTCATTTTTCCTTACTGAAGAAATTTGCGAGGTCATGTAGATAGATGTAGATAAGGAAAGATGGACCCAAAGCCTAGAGTGAAGTACAATGGGTTTTAACAAGTTGATAAATTGGAGATTGATGTACTTACAAAATCTTTATCCTTCTGTCACAACATTTTGACTTGAAATTGATTAAAAAAAACATATATATTTGCCCTTGCATATGTCCTGTATTTCCTTTTTGTCTGTGGAATAGCTCATGGATTGTTCTCTTTTTGCATTTTTCATTCCAGCGAAACGTACCGATTCTTTGATCTTCCATTCTGTGCACCAGGTATGCAATTAATGTTTAAGTTTCCTTCGTTTAAGTCACTCTGTAAATTTTAAGTTTCAAGCTTACCGAAGGATGTGTTTACAGCTCATGTGACTGAGAAAAAGGAAGCTCTTGGTGAAGTCTTAAATGGTGATCGATTGGTCAGTGCTCCTTACAAGCTCGACTTTATGTACGACAAGGACTCAGAAATAGTGTGCAAAAAGAAGTTATCGAAGGAAGAAGTTTCTCTATTCCGTAATGCCGTTGCCAAGGACTATTACTTCCAAATGTATTATGATGACTTGCCCATTTGGGGTTTCTTAGGGAAAGTCGATAAGGAGGGAAAAACAGATCCCAGCGAGTACAAATATTACCTGTTTAAACATCTCCATTTTGAGATCTTTTACAACAATGATCGTGTGGTTGAGATCAATGCACGAACTGATCCTAATGCCTTGGTTGATATCACAGAGGATAAGGAAGTAGATGTTGACTTTATGTACTCTGTGAAATGGAAGGAGTCAACTACTCCTTTTGAGAAGAGGATGGAAAAATACTCACAGTCATCATCAATGCCACATCACTTGGAAATCCATTGGTTCTCAATTATCAACTCCTGTGTGACAGTTCTTCTCTTAACTGGTTTTCTCGCAACAATTCTTATGCGCGTTCTTAAGAATGACTTTGTCAAGTAAGTGACATTTCAGTTAATATAGTTGGTTTGCCTACATTTGTTAGTCTTGAGAATAAGTTTTCTCTTTTGTGTCTAAATTTCCATTATTTCTTAATCGATATTCAAGGTATGCACATGATGAGGAGGCAGCTGATGACCAAGAAGAAACTGGGTGGAAATACATTCATGGTGATGTTTTTAGGTATCCGAAGTACAAATCGTTGTTGGCTGCTGCTGTTGGTTCTGGTACCCAACTCTTTACAATGTAAGTATATTTTATCTTGAAAATTTGTTATCATAAGCATAGATATCGCTAATGCTCTTTTCCTACTTAATTTCCAGGACCATCTTTATTTTCATTCTTGCACTTGTTGGTGTTTTCTATCCTTACAATCGTGGAGCTTTATTCACTGCACTGGTTGTCATATATGCTCTCACGTCTGGGATTGCTGGCTATACTGCATCCGCTTTCTACTGTCAACTAGAAGGAACAAACTGGGTATGTTTTCATGGCTCTAACACATCTCATTCTCATTTGAAACAATACTCTTTCCGTTGTATGACATCTTTCTATTTTTGGACATGCCAAAATGTTTTAACAATTCTATTGCAGTATTTCCAAAACTTTCGAGAATCCAATTTCATTGAACTATTCAACTTTTAAATCCTGAAAATATAATAAAACGTCAATCAACACCTTTAACTCTGTCCAGTTGAATAATGTATAATGAATGGAGGGAACATTCACCCCTAATTCTGATCTTTTTAGAACGATTAAAAGGAAAGTCATCCCTAACTTTGATTATTTATTCACAAAAGGGGATAAATCTGCATTTATAATTTTTTTTCCTATCTTGTACCTTGTCAACACCCGTTGCTTGTCATTTTTATTAAAATCATTCTTCTCTAGCATTGTTTGGGGGAAAATGAAGGGGTTAAACCGTTATATAACAAGACGACTGATTTGTTTCCCCAAGGTCTAGCCTGTGTAGTAAAGGGTCTAATTCTATCCCCTTGCTTTTTTTTTGCTAACCATAGGGAATGAAAGATAATACTTTATGTCTCTGAAGTAAATTATTGAACTGTTGAAATGTATAAAACGTACTCGCTTTTAAATTATTCAACTGTTGAAATGTGTAAGTTGCTCAAAAGCTATTCTGGAATCAGCTTCTATATCAGTATCTGCGGGTTAGTATTATTTGCCTAATTTCATCAAGTTAATTAAGATGACATGCTTTTCCTTGAGTCGAGGGTCTATTGAAAACAACCTCTACCTCCCAAGTTGTGTAGGGGTAAGGTCTGCGTACAATCTAACCTCCCCACCCCAGACCCCACTTAGGGGTTACATTGGGTATGTTGTAGTATTGTCAAGTACATTGCTATCTTAGCTAACGAAGCACAACAGCGGAAAATGGAAGTGAGTGCATCAAAATAACAAGATGGTGTTGTTTGTGCCTTGCAGGTCAGGAACTTGATATTGACTGGGGCATTGTTTTGTGGACCGCTGTTTCTCACATTCTGCTTTCTTAACTCCGTTGCTATCGGCTACACTGCCACTGCTGCGCTACCTTTTGGAACCATCATGGTCATTTTTCTAATATGGGCTCTTGTAACATCACCTTTGCTCGTATTGGGAGGGATAGCTGGAAAGAATAGTAAATCTGAATTCCAAGCTCCTTGTCGTACCACCAAGTATCCAAGAGAGATACCGCCATCGCCTTGGTACCGTGGAACTCTGTCTCAGATGGCAATGGCTGGGTTTTTGCCTTTTAGTGCCATATATATTGAACTTTACTACATATTTGCAAGTGTTTGGGGTCACAGAATTTACACAATTTACAGTATCTTGTTTATAGTCTTCATTATCCTTCTAATTGTCACCGCTTTTATAACCGTGGCATTGACATACTTCCAACTTGCTGCTGAAGATCACGAATGGTGGTGGAGGTACGTTGCTCCTTCACCCTTTTAGAATCAGCAATTTCGTTCTTCATTTCTAAGGAAAATGTGACATGCAAGAATCACTTTCGTTAAGTTCATGATCTCTCTGCATACCGCGATACATTTGAGGTTGTTGACAATGATGTAAAGTCCTCAACTTTTATATGTTATTTCGCCATGCAGGGCTTTCCTTTGTGGTGGATCAACTGGACTGTTCATCTACGGATACTGCTTGTATTACTATTATGCACGTTCCGATATGACAGGGTTCATGCAAACCTCATTCTTCTTCGGGTACATGGCTTGCATCTGCTATGGTTTCTTTCTCATGCTCGGGTCTGTTGGTTTCCGTGCAGCCCTATTCTTTGTCCGTCACATATATCGATCGATCAAATGCGAGTAAAGTTGTTGTCTGTGGTCTTCTACATCTCACAGATTGCTTTCCAGATTTGGTAAAGGCCACAATCAGGTGTCAAATAGGAGCATGTAGGAGAATTCATTTTCTTGAAAAGAAGCTTGTATTATCATACAATGACAAATTTTTTTCATATATAACTAGGCATTTTTCATTTGCAGCTCAAAAGTTTACAACAATGATGTTTGAGGAGGGTAGGATGTACGTAGAGTCGTAGACCTTATCCCTGCAGCCTTACCTTTGCTAGGTAGAGATTATTTTCAGTAGATCCGCGAACAGCTGAAAACTCAGTTTTCTAGTAACATGATAGATTTTAATTTTGCTAATGCTATATAATCAGATAGTACTAGGTTAAGATGATCATTTATTTGATACTATTTTCTTTTTAGTAAGTTTAGAAAAAAATGTCTTTTAGCCATATAATGTCATGCCGCGTATAAGATCATAAGTTTGAGAAGATTGGAATTTTTTATGTTATTAAAGTCAATATAACTAAGATGTTTATTCAAGGATGTTAGCTCACCAATTCTATCAATTCATCCTTATTACTATCACCATCGCCTGTGTTATCAACTACCGTTATCATCGTCCATCATTATCAACTATCAGCACTCACAACTATCATTTTTAGCTACAACCATCATAGTTGTAAATTTCTACAACCGACCATCATCGCCATTAGCCACTAGTTATAATCTTTAACACCAATCGAAATAATCACCATCAATAATCATCATTATATGTCATTGATTACATTTATCATGCACCATCTTTTAGCTTTCACTATCATAAATCATAACTATCAATCGTCACCATTAATCACTATTATCAACCACCATCACCATTAGATACTCTCATAACACCACCATAACCAATATCATCCCAATTGACACCTACAACCACCATCGCTAGCCATAACTAACCGATCACCATATAATTTTTAAAAATATCTATTAGATATAATCATTTAATATTTTCTTAAATTTATATTACTAAGTCTTAAATATAGACAATTGTATTGATCATTTAAAAATATCTCAATTTTTATTAAAATTTTATATCAAGTCAAACTATGATAAATAAAGTGAATATACAATATTTCTATAATGTCTTTTTTTTTAATTATTTCTCACCCAACATTCAATATCCCCATTGAAGTTTAATTAATTCCAACTTCACACATTACAGGATCCATTTCTAAGATCAACAACACTCCAAACAATAATATTTTTGTTTCTAAGAACTCAAACTCAAAACTATCATATTAAAAGTGAAAAAATCTCAACAAGCTATCAAACTCAAAACTATCATATTAAAAGTGAAAAAATCTCAACAAGCTATTATTATCTGACGATCAACATGTTATATTCTATCATAAACAATCGAGCAAAATCGATTTCTCTCTTTCTATTTACTTAATATGAACCCTACCCGTACAACACATGTTGTTATTTTGTATTGTAATGGTTGTCTTTTCCTCTAGTGAAAAATATTCCAAATTCATTTTCAAGTCCCTTTGGCATTAATATTTTTGAACAACAAAACATTAATGGATCTTATGCCAAAATTGTTAAAGCTGTATTCACATTAATTAAATATCTGCATCACAATAAGTATTTAAGAGAAAATTTAATAAGAAAAAAAATGTACAAATACAAAAACAGTGAAAAATGATTAAAAAAAAAGTGATATATATTTATAAAGTTTCACTTTTTTATGTGCAGCTTTTAAGATTTGTCTCTGTGATAACTGCAGGGTGTCTGGAACTCACTTTACACCTTTTCATTAACTGTAAATTGGACAATTTTTTTTTTTAAATTTATTATATTTTATAAATTATTTGATATTAAATTCGTAAATTCGTGTCAAATAGTAAAAAAATTATTTGTTTTTAAAAAATATAGTAATTCATGATTAAGAGATCGATCTTAGAATATTGACAAATGAAGAAGGTGAATACTATTTTGATTTCGATTTGAATCGAGAAAAAAATTATAATACGATGGAAGTCATTAATTATGTAATTTAGTGGAAAGATTTATTCGATACTATTGTTTTAATCATTGTACCAAGAACTTTTTCTATTGTATTTAGTGATGATTTCAATTTAGGCTTTCTGATATATTATAAATGAAAGTGTATCATATAAATTAAAATAATTAATAAAGTAATTAATTATATATATATATATATATATATATATATATAATAAATCATTCTTGGTCTACTTTTCGGTTTATCATATCAAGTTTTATATTAAGAATTCCCTATTGTTCAAGGGTTTTTTGAAGATTTAACATATAATAATAATTATGTAAATATTTATATACAATGTATTAATTATTTTTCTATATATACTTTATCTAGAACAAGAACTATTGAGTTTATGACCATTCATAAATTTAACCATTGTATTGTAGATTCCCATTTACTATTTATATAAATAGAAAATAATCAAAAATGTCTCTAGACTATCGCAAATGATCTATATAAATATGGCCTTCATTAATTTATTTTGCTAAAAATAGTCTTTCGATTACATTGTGGCTCCAATTATTAATATCCATCCACTCAATTCTCTGACTTACCCGACTAAATTTAAATTTGTTTTAGAAAATCTTGTATCGGAGATAAATCGCTCAAAGATAATTTCATATATCTAATAAGACTTGAATTTGAAATTTTTAATTAAAAACGAATGAATACTTATCACACGTACACAACTCATTATCACGCGTACACAACTCATTAAATTCTTCAAGATCTCACTATTTTTTGTAATAGAAGATTGACTAGAGACTGAATGGATTGTGTTTTTCACAAGATAAAACTGAATAAGCCAAAAGAAAAAAAAGAGAGAGGATATATTTCACCTCAAAGAAATGTTTCTTTTTTTTGGGTAAAAAAGTACAAATTATAATTTTCACATGTTGACCAGTAACTTTAAATGAAACTTGTAAATACATACAATAGAGGGTTGGACACAAAAATATGAAATATATACAAAAAAAGAAATAATTTTTTTAAAAAATTTAAGTTAAAATATTTGAATTGAAATTATGTTAAAACATATAAACTCATAAAATAAGTAAATTTTAAGATACATATTCTAAAATTTAGAACATTCTTAGCAAAAAGTCTAATTTTATCGCTAAGCGTGGAGAAAGAATCTTAATCATTTCGATACATGTTCATAGTTTTCAAAGGAGTTAAACTATAGAATGTCATATGGTTAGGTCAGTCATATATAGTTAGGTCAACAAAAGCATCAACATGTATAGCAAGTATAGTTGAAAAAGTGAGGTGTGAAAAGAATAAAGTATACGTAGATTTAATTTTATCATTATAAGGTAAATAGTCTGGTTTAGAAGTTATATACTTAGGTAAAAAATATTACCATACTTGGGTAAAAAACAATAACATATTATATGTATAATTGTATACACTTCATTTTTTTGAGACGTACGTTATTTGTAACCCTAATTATAGTTTCATAACTGAGGTATGAGATGAATGAAGTATACACATATTTTATGCTTATCTTTATAAGATAAAACGATTACTTTTGAAGTCATATAGTTAGGTCAATATCAAATAACATGCTAAAAATAATTTTGAGTACACTTCACTCTTTTCATCTGTCATTTGTAAATCCAAATACTATTTCACAAGTAAAGTATTAAAAAAATGAAATATACACAGATCTAATCCTTATTTTGATAAGATAAAGAGACTACATTGATACTCATATAGTTAGGTTAAACCAATAGTATAATATATATATATATATATATATATATATATATATATATATATATATATATATATAT